CCCTCGGCGCCCTCCCCGGCCCACCCAGTGCTGCCCACAGCCCAGCGACGACATCACTGCCACCGTAGTAACACCCACCCCATTGATCGCAGGCTCTCTGTGAGCCCGGATGCTGGTGCCCCTCACCCTAGGGCCACCTGATGTCGTCATCTCCTGTCACCTAGATCTCCAGGCTGGCCAACCTCAGGGCCCAGTCTGGGCTCTGGAGCTCGAAGGTGGAGCCCTGTCCTTCCCAACCCGCATGACCCCGCGACCCCACGCCACAGATGGGGTGTGGGGGGGCCCCCCCACCCCGAGCCATCGGTGAAGCACCGTGACACTGGCCCCAGTAAACCGTAGGTCCCTCCACGCTTACGCTGTGGCCCAGCCAGGCACCATCGCAGAGAAATCTGAATAGAGCCACGAGAAGTAGACGCCAGCGTTTAGGAAAAGGGTATGAAACTGAAACCTACCACCGAGAAAACATCAACCTCGGAAACAATGCAGTGCAGAGCTCTGGCGTCTGGTCGGCCCAGGGAGAGTGCTGGCCGGCGAAGGGAGGAGGGAAGGAAAGGAGGGGCCTGCAGGGGCCTCGCCCTGCACCGTGGGGATCCCCTGGTGGGGCTGCTCAGGCCGGGCCCTCGGGAGCCTCGACAGGCTCCTTGGAGAACCGGGCAAATCGAGGCAAGGACAGCGCCTGCCACCCCGCCCCGCGGTTGCTCACCCAGCCACATGAGGTCGGCTGGAGGGGGCCGACTCCAGCCCGTTCTCTGGTGCCCACCAGCACCCCAGGTACGGGCCCGCCGGGCTTCCTGGGGGCAGCAGGAGGTGACAGAGGGCTGCCCCTTGCCAATGGAGCCCAGGTCCCTCCCCGGCAGGCACCAGGGGCAGTGGCGGTGGCACCACCCTCCACCCTGGTGAGAACTGTGACCCTTTGCTGGTAAACGACATTTTTACTCCAAAGCCCTTTCACGCCCCGGTCATTCCGTGTGTCACATGCCTGCTCCTGGCATTTGGCAGAGGTGAAATTGATGTACAAGGACACAGCAGGCTGCCTGCCCCAGTGTTCGGTGCACCAGCCAACCGAGTGGTTCTCAGGGTCTGGGGGGGTGGCCCAGAGCCACTCCAGACCAGCTCCCCACTTTAGCACCCCTACCGAGGCCTGCTGAAGTCCGGAGAGAGCCGGGCTGGTGCAGAGATTGTGGGTCCCCCGTGGACCTTGGCGGGTGCAGAGGCAGAAGCCCTAGTGGCAGGGACCCTGGAGCACTGGGTCACCCCCCACCCCGCCTGTCTCTGGTGCTCTCCCTGCCAACTAGCTGGCTCCATCTCGATGGGAAGGTGCTCCCAGGGCTCCCTGCCGCCCTTGGCCCCCGTGGCCCAGTTCAGCTGGGGACTAGGGCCTTGTCAGGCGCAGCCAAGACAGCTCAGTGCTGGGTCTGGGGACAGGTACTTGGACTTCATCGTTTTCATCCCCTCCTGGCTGTCAGACAGACTCTTCAAAGGTGACCTGTGCCCGAGTGAACCCTGGTCTCTCCCTGCCTCCAGGCCCTCCCCTCCTCGGCAGGGGCACCCCCCGCCCCCCGCTGGAGCGGCACTCCCTGTGGCCAGGGCTTCACCAGGTCCTGACAAGTTCACGTCCTCAAGGATTCGCAGATTGCTCTCTGTCCCTTGCTGCTGTCATGACCCTCCTCCCCCGCATTTGTCACTACTCCAGCAGCAATCTCTCAGCACCTTCCTGTGCCCCCCTCAGTTCTGCCCTCCCAGGAAGGGTCCCCAGGAAGGGCCCTGTGCCCCTGTCCAGTGTCCTCCCTGGTCCTCCCCGCGGCCCACCGCCTGGGGAGTTCTTTCCTGCTCAGGTGGGCGTTCTAGGCCAGCTGTGAACTTTGGCCTTAGCCCTGGAAGTGGACAGGCTCGGGGAGCACCACGGAGTGAGGGAGGGTCAGACTTGGCACCCTGCTTGGGTGGGCTCCCACCTTGCTTCCGGGGTAAAGATACCCCACGGCACTCATTTCCTCTTGACCCTGCCCAACCCACATGCCTGCCTGCCCGCCTTTGGCCCACGGGCCACAGCCAGGGGGAGTCTCGGGCCACACTGTCCCCAGCCCCCTTCACCTCCCCTACACCACAGAGCTGTCCCCCAGGCGCCCCTCCAAGGCCTCTGAACCCCCTTCCAGCAGCGGGGTGCTGAGCTGGCCGTAGCAACTGCTACCTTCGCAGGGACTTGAAAGCTGTTTGATAAACACAGCCGTCATTAAAACACAGACTAGACAAACTCCAGTCAAATTAACTGTACTGAGAAGGAACGAAATGCATACTCAGAACGCATCTCTTTCCAATTATTTCTATCACATTTTACAGTTACCTCTGCTTCGGAGGTTATTTGCACCAGTCGCATCTCTGAGGTGGGAACACCTGTAATCATGGGCGGTGTCCCTTCCCAGTCCTGGGTGCGGGTTTCACAGGGTCCCCACTTCGGGTCTGGGGTGCAGGCCCAGGCCAGGCAGGGGGGGGCCGGTGTCCGCACAAGAGGCCGCCCCTGGACCCCCGGCCCCCTGACCAGGGGACCAGGCAGCTTGGGCCTCCAGCAGGGAAGGCCTTGTTCGTTCCTCTCCCTGGCTCTGCCCACCTGCCTGGTGCCTGGAGTCCAGCTAAAAGGAGTTTCAAAGGCGGAGCGGTAGTTTGGCCCCCCCACCTGAAGAGCCGTGACCCCCAGGTGCGCGCAGGGCCCCACACAGCGCCTTCTGCTGGAGAAGCCGCCCGCTGGACCGATCTCTCCTCCCCTTTGGGGCTCAACACTCCCCTGCCAGAGATCCCCTGGACACCACCCCAGGGCCCCTGCCCCCCTTCTGATGCCAAAAGCGGTTCTCCCTGCCTTGCACTCAGGCAGCCCGCCCCTCCCCGCCCCCCACCACCGCTCAGGGCAGGAGGCCAGGCCAGGGACGCCGCTCCATCCACACAGCCTGGCCGGGCCCAGCTGGGCTCCTCTCCAGCTGTCCCTGAGCTCCACGCGGGTCGCCCTCCCTCTCGCCAGGGGTAGCCGCGTCGCCGGGCCCCACCGGAAGGACCTCCGACTGCAGTGGGGAGGGGACCCCCGAGAAAGGATCCCCAGTCTGTCTGTGGTCGAGAGTTGGAGACAAAAGCCGTTCCACCCCTCATGCAAGTCATTCTTCAGGAGTCGCCTGGGACGCTCCAGGTGCCCACCCGAGTGGGGATTCTGGTGGCTCGGCCCCTCTCCACCGGCACCAGGCCGTGAGCTGCCGCAGCTCTCCGAGCTCCATGGCGTGCAAGCCTGCCAGGCCACTGGGGATGGGAACCCCGAGCATTCCTGGGCTGCTCAGAGCCAAGGACAGCTGCGTGCGGGCCGAGGGGTCCCTCTGGCGCTGGGAAGTGGAGGCCAAAGGACATACAGGACGGGCAGGGTGGACTCGAGGGTAAGATGCCCAAAGAACACAGGCGGTGGGGAGCCAGTGGGGGGGAGGCTGTGCAGAGGGGAGGACCACATTCTCAAAAAGGCACCAACCAAGCCAACCTCTTCTCCCACCCACGCTCTGGAGCTGCCTGGGGGGCTGCCTGTGGTCCCACCCTCCAGCACGGGGCCGCCCAGCAGGGACCTGCTTGCTTACCGCAGGCAGGGCCATGGCAGCACCCAGGCAGCGTCTGCGGAACAAGGGTTCCCAGGTGTGAGTGCCCAGTGTCCGTGGGGCTGCGGGACCGAGGCTCTAGCCCGGGCTTGCCCTGTCACCCGGAGCCAGACCTCCGCAGTCTGGGCACCTCAGGCTCCCCACCGTCCAGTGTGAGCGTGGGATGGGCTCCCTCCGAAGTGCCTTCCGTCCTGACCGCCCCAGAAAGCCTGGGCACGAACCCTTGGAGGGACTGGAGCGGTACCTGGCAGCGGAGGGCCGAGGCACCACTGACCAGCAAAAAGGCGGGAATGTGTGTGTTGGGGGGGAGGGTAGGGGTGACTCTGACTAAGTCACCGCAGTGCTGAGCCCTGTAGGTGGGACCGCCTCCAATCCCCATGTCCAGGAGCCCTCCCCACAGGCCTTTGCTGGAGAAGCGGGACAAACTGGGGTTCAGGGGGGCCCGGAATGCACGTGTGGGCACATACGGAGCTGGACACACAGAACACACCCAGACACGCACACGCGGACACGTTCTAACCCTAATCCACCTCCGCTATGGGAAGGCCCTCGGGACCGGGGGAGCGGCCAGCCCCGGAGGCGCCGTCTGCCGGGAATCGAGCGGGCTCCGCTGGCCGGAAAGGCTGGATCCAGTGGGGCTGCCTCCGAGAAGGCCCCGCCCGCCCGCAGGCACAGGGTGGGGGCTCTCACTCCTTGGAGAGGTCGCCTGGTTCCCAGAGGCCCGGAGCTTGGGGGAAGGGGCCCAGGAGAGGGGAGCCGGGTCGTGGGTGTAGTGTAAGCAGTTTGTCAGCCCCGCACGGACAGCTGAGGAACGTGGAGGGACCCCAGGCCCCCCTCCTCTCGGGACTTGGCCGCGCCCCGAGGCTCCCCTCCTCTGTGGTCCCCCGCTTCCCGCCCCGGGGTGCCGATGATTTGAGTCCTTGGGGACCCGACCCCCCTCGACCGGCCCGAGCTCCTCAGGTGTTCTGTGCAGACAAGCGAGTTGCACAGAATTTTGTCTCCGGGCGGCGGGGACCTTCCTCCCACCCCGAGCCCCGCTGGAGATCTGAGGGCATCCCGCGGGGAGCCCGCCCTGGTGTCCGAGGCCCCCGCCTGGCCTACGACCCCCGAGGCCCCGACCCCGCCCCGCAGCGCTCGCGCCTCGCTGAGCTTCGGGGAGGCGGCGGCGCGGGCCGGGGCGGGGGCGGTCCAATGGGGGCGGGGCAGGCCAGGGGGGCGCGGGGGTGGGGCGTTCGGGAAGAAGCTGTCCCCCACCGCTCGCGGGCGCGACCCCCTCGGCTCGCGGGCCGGGCCGCAGACAATTAAAGCGGGATTCCTCCCCCGCTGACGTCTGCGGCGCCGAGGCCCCTCCCGCGGGGGCATAAAAGGCGCGGGCTCCGCAGCGCAGGCAGCAGTGGGGGCCGGACGGCGTCTCGGTGCGCACTGCGCGGGGAGCAGAGCACGGCCGCCCGCGGAGCCCCAGCCGAGCGGAGCGCAGCCCAGCCGGGCGCAGCGCCGGCCCCGCGCCCGCAGCCATGCCGGCCGGCCGCGCCGCGCGCACCTGTGCGCTGCTCGCCCTGTGCCTCCTGGGCAGCGCGGCCCAGGATTTCGGGCCGACGCGCTTCATATGCACCTCGGTGCCCGTGGACGCCGACATGTGCAGCGCGCCCGTGGCCGCCGGCGGCGCGGAGGAGCTCCGGAGCAACGTGCTGCAGCTCCGCGAGACCGTGCTGCAGCAGAAAGAGACCATCCTGAGCCAGAAGGAGACCATCCGCGAGCTGACCACGAAGCTGGGCCGCTGCGAGAGCCAGAGCACGCTGGACGCCGGCGCCGGCCGCAAGCAGCCCGGCTCCGGCAAGAACACCATGGGCGACCTGTCCCGGACGCCGGCCGCCGAGACGCTCAGCCAACTCGGGCAAACTTTGCAGTCGCTCAAAACCCGCCTGGAGAACCTCGAGGTCTGCTCTCGCCGCGGGTCCCCCTCTGGCGCGCGTGCTCCCACCCGCCCCACTCCGACCCGCCCGGACACCCCCACCCCCGCCCGGCCGGCGCCCTGGGTCTGAGGGCCCCGCCAGGCCGCCCCCACAGTCGCCCCGAGAGGACCGTGCCGCTAGCCTCTCTGCGCCGGTCCCCACTCTGCGCGTAACGCCCTGGTTCTCCCCGCAGCAGTACAGCCGGCTCAATTCCTCCAGCCAGACCAACAGCCTCAAGGATCTGCTGCAGAGCAAGATCGACGACCTGGAGAGGCAAGTGCTGTCCAGGGTGAACACGCTGGAGGAGGGCAAGGGGGGCCCTAGGAACGACACCGAGGAGAGGGTCAAGATCGAGAGCGCCTTGACCTCCCTGCACCAGCGGATCAGCGAGCTGGAGAAAGGTAACATCCGGGGAGGGGCGCGCTGCCTGCCTGGCCAGCTGGCTGGTGGGACCTTGCCGGGGTCCTGGCTTCCTCCACCCTTCCAGCCCCCCCCCCCCGCCCCCCATCCTGCCCAGAGTCTGGTCCTCAGAGGAGTGTCACTGGTGGGGCTGGGGCACCTGGGCTCTGGCCGTCTCTGTGGGGGAAGCAGAGAGGAAAGGGGCCGCCTGCCGTCTCCGGCCTCCTCCCTGCACACTCTCAGGCTCGCGGGGTTTTTCCAAGTCTGGTGTGTGTGATCTTCAGTAACTTTGCGCTGTGGTCAGCCCAGGCCCTCCCTCCGAGAAAGCCTGGCTCTCGCTGGTCCCCAAAGAGCTGGCTGGGGCTGGACCTGGGTCCTCCTGTTCCCCCGCTGACTTGGGCCCTGAGCAGGTTTTCTCCCTGCTGCCCCGTGGGGTCCTCTGGGGAGCTCCCGGTAGCCCCCTCTGCCTTGATCCCCTCCCTGTGATTTTCTCTTCCGAACGACCCAAGCCTGGGCATCTGGCGTGCCCTGCGGTTCCCTGGTCCCCAACGCCGAGAGGGCCCCCGCTGCACCCCAGGGGCACGGATGAGCTCAGTGGCTTAGCCTTGAAGTCGCAGAAATCAAACAAGGTTGTAAGGGGGGGGCACCCGGGCTCAGAGGAGGGCCACGTGACCCTTCTCACACTGCAAAATGTGCCGGATGGATTTAAACAGTGCCATCTTAAGGCACCTTATGTAACTGAAAAACATCAGGGGAGGGAGCTGGGGGAGGAGGGGAGGGTGGGGGGAGGAGGGGAGAGTGGAGAGGCCAGCGCTGGAGCCGCTCCAAGGGCAGGGGACTGCCCACCTGAGACCGCGTGGGCAGCCCCGAGGGGCCAGCCCTGCTCCGTGACCTCACACTTGGCTCAGAGGAAGCTGGCCAGCAGGGAGCTGGCCAGCAGGGTGCCTTCTAGAAATAATTCTTGGCCGAGGGGGCCGGTTTAGTGCCGGGCGCCCTGGCAGGCCCGGGGCACCCTGGGGGCTGGCAGGCGTGTGTTCCGGCCTGGTGCTTGTGCCCACTGCCACTTGGGAGTTTTTTGCCCGTAGTCAGTCACTCCTTGCCCAGGGCAGAGGCCACCTGGTTTGTGTGGATGGGGAGGGGACAGGCAGTGTTCCCCGGAGCCACCCCGGCAGGCGGGGAGCTGGTGGCTGCGTGTGAGGGGGTCTGTCCGTCAGGAGACACATGGGAAGCTCACCCTGGGAGCAAGTGGCACAGTCATCCCAGCAGCCACCTTGGTGGCCCTGGCCCCCCGGCTGTCCACCCCTCTCCAGATGGTTGCTGGAAGAGCCTGTAAGGGGTGGCCCTCCCTCCTGTGAGGTGGATGGGATTCTGGAAGTAGCCAGAGTCCTGGGGATTGGCTGGTTGGGGCAGGTGCGTGCCCTGGCCGGACGGGCTCCCTTCAAGGAGACTCAGGAGAGGAGAGAGTGCTTCTGCTCTCAGTCAGCAGCCAGCGCTGGAACCAGGGCGGCCCCCGAGCGGCTGCTCTGAGGGGACCTAGCCTCTTTCTGGCTGGGAGGAGACTTCCTCCTCTGGGCCACAGAGAGTGTGTGCTGACCACCCCCTCCCCGCCCCCAGGCACACACAGGGCTCACAGCCCACCTGCTCCCCAGCTGCGTCCCAGCTTCCCCAGGGCAGCACCTCAAGGGAGCTGACCCCGTGCAGGGCCCTGGGGCCCTGGGACAAAGCGCCATGAGCTCCCCAGGCCCCTGCAGGGCGGAGTCTGCGCTGCCCCTGCTGGCGGCGAGGGTGCAGGTGTCCGGACCCGGCCCTGTCCTCCCCAGGCCAGAAGGACAACCGCCCCGGAGACAAGTTCCAGCTCACGTTTCCTCTGCGGACCAACTACATGTACGCCAAGGTGAAGAAGAGCCTGCCAGAGATGTACGCCTTCACCGTCTGCATGTGGCTGAAGTCCAGCGCCGCGCCCGGCGTGGGCACGCCCTTCTCCTACGCCGTGCCCGGCCAGGCCAACGAGCTGGTCCTCATCGAGTGGGGCAACAACCCCATGGAAATCCTCATCAATGACAAGGTAGGGCCCCTCCCGGGGGGCACTGTCCCTCGGCTGCTGGGTCGGGTTTGTGGGGACACAGGACTTTGGGCCTCAGGCGGTGTCCAGGGGGTGCTCTGCCTAGCAGGGCCGAGGGCTGTGGAGGGAGGGATGGGAGGTGCACCCTTGCCCCACTCTGTGAACTGGGTGAGGCTGGAACCTTCCCAGGCAGAGAGCAGAAGCCAGTCTGGGAGGGGGTGGGCAGAGGTTCTGCCTGAGTCGGAATCCATTCTGCTCAGTGCCTGGCACTGGGGAGGGGCCGGATGGGCCTGAGCCCCGGGAGAGGCCAGCCTTTCCCCTGGGAACCCCCCCAGCTCAGCCCTCCATTAGCCGTGGGTCAGCTGCCAGCTCCCACGCTCCCCAGCCTCTAAGCCTGTGTTGGTGCTTAACATCCAACGCCCAGACCGGAAAGTGCCCTGCCTAGGGTGGCTGCCTTCCTGGGCCCCGTGTCCCCACGTAGGAGTGGGGCTGCCACACCGGCCCCGCCTGGACACTCGGGGTCAGTGAAGCGCCAGGTCGGAGGCTGGTCTGAGCCCTCGCGGGCACGGTGCCCTCCGCCCTGGTGTCCCTGGGATTCCCAGAGGACCAGGCAGCAATTGGTGGTGTGAGAGAGGAGGGGGAGAGGCCCTGAGGGAGCAGAGGCCCGGGGCCCCAGTGAGGGCCGGCGGGGGTGGCAGTGGGTTCAGGTGGGTCTTGGGGACCCCTGCTGGAGACCACATCCCTCTGCGATGCTGACCCGCCCACAGATGGGGCCCTCGGGTGGTCCCGCCAACCCGGGGTCTCTGAATGCACCTCAGGGAGCGTCAGCTGCGGCTGAACCAGTCACTGCTGGCACTGGGTCATCCTGAGTCCACAGTGTCAGGGGCATCCTTCCCCTTCCCAGGTGGCCAAGCTGCCCTTTGTCATCAATGATGGCAAGTGGCACCACATCTGTGTCACCTGGACCACCCGGGATGGGGTCTGGGAAGCCTTCCAGGACGGCACCCAGGGCGGCAGTGGCGAGAACCTGGCACCCTACCACCCCATCAAGCCGCAGGGCGTGCTGGTGTTGGGCCAGGAGCAGGTACTGGTCTTGGGGGCAGCGTTGGGGAGGCAGCTGGCGGGGGGTGGGGGGTGTTCGGAGGGGAGGGGCAGGGGGCTGCGGAGGCCAGTGAGTTAGGCAGCGGTTTGGGCAGAGTGGGGTCCTCACTGGGGGAGCAGCAGCGGCGGTGCCTTCAGGGGCTCCGCCGAGCCGAGGCCCCGGCCCTGGAAGGCCGCTCCTGGCTTTCCTGTCGCTTCCCAGGGCCTCCGTGGAAGCAGCAGAGGCCCCGGCCTTCTGCTCCTGGACCCACCGAGGGGCGGGGGCAGGATGCAAAGCTGGAGTCGCAGAGACAGGAGGGGTAACCACGCGCAGCCCCCCGATGGGGAGGCACAGACACTTGTCCCCAGGGATGTCCCCTGCCTGGCCCCCACTCCTCCATCTCATCCTCTGCTTTTCTCTGAAGGACACCCTGGGTGGCGGGTTCGATGCCACCCAGGCGTTTGTGGGGGAGCTGGCCCACTTCAACATCTGGGACCGCAAGCTGACCCCGGGGGAGGTATACAACCTGGCCACCTGCAGCGCCAAGGCCCTTTCCGGCAACGTCATCGCCTGGGCCGAGTCCCACATCGAGATCTACGGGGGAGCCACCAAGTGGACATTCGAAGCCTGTCGCCAGATCAACTGACGCTCCAGCGTCGCGAGCCTCCCACCCCTCGGCCCCCGCCCCACCCGCCTCCTCTGCTTGTGCAGCGACCACCCATCATCTGTGCGCCCCCACCCCCCACCCCGAATGACTCCCGGCCGTGGCCCTGCCCACACGCACACGCTCCCCTCACCGCTCTGTTCGGCCTTGGTGCCCAGGAGGCAGGCCTGGCTCCCGCTGTCCCCGAGGAGGGAGGGGCCCTCTCCCTCGGAGCCCTGCCTCAGGACGCAGGTGATGTGGCTTTCTGAACAGTGCAGATACAGTAGGTGAGAGGACCACGTGCGTGTGAGTGTGCGTGTGCACACGTGTGTGTGAGCATGTGTCTCTGGGGGAGACTTTTTCTTTCAGAGCGAGGCACTTCCTCTCCTTCTTTCTCTGTGGCTTTGGGAGCCGTCGTGGCTGGTCAGAGCCTGTCTGTGCCGCCCGCGCCTCGGCCACACGCCTGCGTCTTCCTTAGCGGAGCCCGTGCGGGGTGACGCATCTCTGAGTCAATGATGCCAGTGTCTGTTTGCTGAGGCTGGGGGGGTGCCCGTCCATGGCTTTGTCTTTGTTCGTAGGAGAAGTGGGTTTTCTCCGAGGGCGGAAGGCAGACAGTGTCCTGGTGGGGGGCACCAGGTGCCAGAGGGGCAGCGGAGGTGGGAGGAGGGTCCAGGCAGTCCTCCCTCAGCCCCAACGTCCTGCCGCTCGTGTCCGAGGGCAGGGCTGGGCCCCGGGGGCCAGCTCGGGCCTCCTCCGTCCCGCCTCCTCACAGCCCAGGGCCTGGGACCCGTCCGCCTTCCAGCCACCAGCTGTTTTGCCACAGCACTGGTGCCCCTGAGAGAGAAGCACCCCCCCACAGCCAGGGAGCCAGCCTCCCAGGCCCCGACTCTGCCTCTGGTAGTAGAAGACCAGAGGCTTCAGGGAACGAGCACAGGAGGGAAATGCGCGCTCTGAGGAAGACGCAGCCACGCGGGACCGAGGGGACTCACGCAGCCCTTGTGGCACCGACAGCCATGCTCCTCCCACAGTCGGGCCCAGGGAGCCGGCTCACCCTGCTCTCTGGGGGCAAGGCCCCTGCGGCCGCTCCTGGGCAGCCAGGCTTCCGGGCCGGGCCAGGCCCTGAAACCAACGCCCCCGGCATGTCCCCGGCTGGTGACACCGAGGCCTGACCAGTGATTAGAAGCTTTGGGTTTTCTTTTTCCCATGAAAAGCTGCTACGCGCATTTCCTTCCAGCCCTTCCGAGGTGGGACGGGTGTGCGTGTGCACACGTGTGTGCATCGTGTGAGAGAGCACACACTCAGAAGGACCGTGCTGAGGGGGGGCAGGCTCCCTGCTTTTTGCACCACCCGGGGCTCACGCGCCCGAGGGCACCTGGGCCCTGTCACCAGGAGTCTAAGCAGCAAACGCTGGCGAGTCTTTCTAGAAGCCGGCCCGCACCGCCCGGCTCACCTGCAGCCGCAGGTGTTTCTCCAGGAGGAGCAGGTGTCCCGTCTCTCGTCCCTTGTAGGGGCACCTGCCTCCAGAGGCGCAGCCCACACTGCGCTGGAGCCCAGCGCACCCGTGCGTCCGTGTGTCCGTGTGTCTGTGTCCGCGTGGGCGCCTGCACGCTGCCCAGCGCCGCCCCGCCTCGTGCCGCGCTCCTGCGGAGGGGGCGGCCGGGCTGCGTGTTGCGGTTCCGCAGTGGCTTTTTCTGACCCTTGTGCTTCGTCAGAGCCCGTAGATCGTGGCGCCTGTGGATCCGCAGGGATCTTCTCTGTTTTGCATGTCCCTCAGGGCGGCGTGTCCCTCGCTCGCCCAGCCCGGTGTGTGTCCCCTGCCTGCATGGACTTCTCTGGTTCTGTGTTTTGTGCCGAGTGCCACCCATCGTTCTGTGACCATCCATGTCGCTTCTGGAAGTGGCTGGGAAAGCCAGCCACGGGTGTCGGAGGAGGACCCGGGAGAGGGTGGTTTCCCTCCCCGCCTCCCCACTCCCCACGCCCACCAAGAAGTATTTTCCTGTGTAGGAAAGAACAGGCCCAAACAGCACCCATGGGGGACAGCGAGAGCTCAGAATCGCCCCTCTAGACCAGACCGCCCACCCTCACTCCAGCCGCCTGGGAGCAGCTGCCAGGCCAGGCCCAGAGCGGCTCGGTGCTCTCCGGTCAGCACCTCCCACCAGCCCCCGCGATCTCCCCGCCTGACCACCTGCCCAGAGGGTGCGGTGGGAGCTGCCGTCCAGGACCACAAGCCATTCTCTGCCCCAGCCCAAGAGGGCAGAGCATCCCCAGACTCTAGGTCTGTGCCCACCTCCTGCCCCTCCCCGGCGCCCCCACGGCGCCGGGGGTGCCAGCTGACATTTAGCTCCCTCCCCCAACCGGAGCCTGTGCCAAGTCCCCCGACTCCCTCACTGTGTTAACACTTGGCACTTTGCCGCCCCGAGAGAGGCAGGTGACCGAGCCACAAATCTAACCCCTGCAGTCTCCACCCCCCCTCCCCCGATCTGATTGACGCCCCCTCTTGCACTGAGTCACCCCCGCCTCTCTCAGGTAAGCCATTTTATAAAACGAGGAGATAAAGAGCACGGTGGACACATGTTGGCCTCCGCCGAGCTGACCGCGGCTCCCGGCACGGCCGGGGCGGGGGACGGCCGCCCACAGGCTCCCCCCCCACTTGAATCGTAAGCCTTCTTGCTTTTGATAACACGGTATTATTTCTCTTACTGTAGAAGAAAAAGTTTATTACCAAACAAGAGTATTTTTATGAAAGAATAGGACAAACCTATAAATTAACTCAACCTCTATCTCCCTTGAAAACACTTTTCGGGCCCCGCCAAACTGCTGGACTGAAAGCGCATATTTTGGAAGAAAAGGGATGCATTTTGTATGCTTTCTTTTCCTTTTGTAGGTTCCCAGTTTATTTTCCGAGATCACTCTGTCACCAGCCCTGGGACCTGAGACCAAGGGGGTGTCTTGTGGGCAGGGAGGGGAGGGGAGGGGAGAGGCCGGCCTGAGGTTCACGGTCGTCCGGTGAGCTCCCAGGAGGGGCCACCTGTTTTCACAGGCATGTCGGGACCAGGGTGTCCGTGGGTCGTGAGAGGTGGACCCGGCGTCTCGGAGCTGCCCTGTCAGGTGGATGCGTGGCTGCCACTAGGGGTGGGACCCTTTGTAATCTTGCAGCGCCGAAATGTGGCCCGAAGCCATCCTGGCTCCCTCTCCGGACATATGGCGGGCAGAGGGGTCCCGCTGATGGTGGGACACATGCCGCTTCGGCGCACAGGGGACTCCGTGTGACCGGTCAGAGGGGAACGAGTCGTTCAGGAGAAAAAAAGCCCAATTCTTAGAGTCCCAATTTTGTCTTATTTGCCAAAACAAGAGCCCCCACCAAACAGACTTAGCAACGAAGCAAACCCCCATGGTCGGTGTTGTTACACTGTACATACTGTAAAATATGGAAGAGGATCGGTGTGTCTTACTTTTTCATTATTTGCTAACCAAAGCTGAACATTTTTCATACAACCTGCAGCCTTTCGGCTACCAAATGGGTCAAAACCGTGGGACCTGCCACCTCCCATCAGCGATTCTGGAAATGCACTATTTCTACTGGTATTCTTGCTTTCTTTCTTTTTTCATTTTCTTGCTGAAACGACATGAATTGTTGAGTTTATTTTTACACAGTAAAGAGTGAAGAAAGACTCTGGTCTCCTTGGAATGTCTCTCGTTTCCTGTGGACCTGCCGCACCCCTCCCTCGACCCCTCCCTCGACCCCTCCCTCCACCCCCCAGGGGACCCTCCCCGGAAGGTCTTTGCATCTGCATCGGCCTGCTGCACGGGATTGGTGGGGTCCCAGAGGAGCCGGGCTTGTCTTCCCAAACGCACCTGCTCTGTTCTCACCCCTGGCCTGGGTCCTCCCTGCGTTCTGGCAGGAGAGCACCCCCACGGTCACGGGTTGAGGGCCCCGGGAAGACCCTGGGTGCCAGGAAGAACACTGCCCCCCAGCCCCCTGTGAACCGCCTTAGACTCCGGGTGGACAGAGTTTGGGAGCCCACTCCTTCCAAGGCACAAAATGACCAAGAGCCCACCTGGCTGACCGGGCTCCAGCCCCTAATGCACACCCATGGACCTGCACACTGGGTTACAGAAGGGACAGGTCCCTCGGGCATCTTGCTGGTGCTGCTGAGGGCACACACACTCTTGGCCTCGTCCACGGCCGGGCCCACAGCTGCGCCCAAGCCAGCAGCTCTGGCCGACACATCGCCGCTTTGCGCCCCTCACCGGAAGTGCAGAGTTGTGCCTGCAGTGGGGTCGCAGGGAGAACCCATCCCAAAACTATCTTCAGAAACAGACTGCTTCCCACACCTGACACATCTGACCTCAGGGCGTCTGTGAGTGACTCCAACGTGGCCTGTCGTGGGCCCTGAGGGGCTCAGGAGGAGGCTGCAGGGCCCTGGGCTGAGCTGGCTCCTGGGGCAGCCTGGGCAGGGGGACAGGTGCAGGAATTTGAAGCTGGAGAGTGCCGTGGCCCAGAACAATTCTGTTCTCCACTTGCATGCCTCTGAAGATGGCGAGCTCATTCCCACAGGGACGGCCTGTCCACTCTCACCCACCTGTGTTGGGAGTCTGCTTCTGTCTTTAAATTTACGTTGTGTTGTGCTCAGGTCTTTACATGGAGCAGCCGCTTCCACCCATCTGTCCGCACACCCGAAGACAGCCCCTGTGTCCCTGAGTCTACACCGTCCCTGCCCCCAAGGCATCAAACCACACTGTGCAGAAGGCTACCTGCCTGGTGCATGGCCTCGTCTACCCCTCTATGGAGGAGGAAGAGGCGCTGCATCGGACACCCGCCAGACGTCTGGGCTGGGAGAGCCGGGAGGGGCCCCGAGTCCAAGTCTTCTTCTCGGATGAGGGGATCGGGGCTCAGAGAGGCTGTGCGGCTGTTCAAGGTCACACAGCTTGTCTGTGCCAGGGCCAGAATCAGGACCCAGCGGTGCTGACTCCCAGCCCTGGGCTCTCACCTGGCCCACACTAAACAGCTTGGTCTGAGCCTGTGACACGGGGCTGACCGCCCGCACCTGGCAGGGAGTGAGGATGGGGTGAGCAGGTGTGCACGGGGCCTGGCCGGGGGCAGGCGCAGTTGCAGGTGGGGGCTGGGCACCCCCCAGTGTCCACAGCCCTGCTGTGGACCATCGCCTCCTGGAGCACCCACGTCCCAAAGAGCTTGGAGACAATGCTGGGTTGTGGGCAACCCCCCCGGGGTCGGGCCATGGCACACCCGGCTGCAGCCCTGGACCCTGGGGAGTCTAGTTGGCTCCTAGAAGCTCCCGAAGCCTGCTCCCCACCCCCACCTGCCCCCACCCCCGGGACCTGGGGCTCAGCCTGCGTGCCTCTTGGGCAGGCACCACCTGGCCAACCTGCTCCAGGGCTTGTCCAGCTCCCCCCAGGCAGCAGAGGACAGTCAGTGCTGAGCTTCCTGGGTAGGGTTGGGGGTGTGGCCTGAAGGAGCCCCGCCCCCACAGCTCTCCGAGGCCTGTGCTGTGTACTCCAGCTGGGACCTCCGGGGCATAGTTCCCCCACCTGCACGCTGACCCTGGGCAGGAGCCCCTGCCTGCTCATCCCAGCCCCCGTCCCCGTCCCCACCCCCATCCCCACAGCCCCCCTCCACAGCCCCCCCTACAGCACACAGTCTCCTTGGGCTTTGAGGACTTCAGTGCTCCCCAGAAACAGGAGAGAAGTTGGGGGAGTTACAAAGGTTCTAGGACTCTGTGGAAGGTCCTCAGCGCAGGGCTTGGCTTGTTTGTCAGAACCAGAAGCCACCCAGAAGGTGCTGGAACGAACGTTCCCTGCTTCCTGGCTGGGGCTCAGCTTGCTCAGCCCAGGCAGCGGGGGCTGGGGCGGGTGGGGGTGGGGGTAGTTCGCCAGTCAGCAAGGCTGGCGGGACCCACAGAGGTACCAGCCCCCCCCCACGCCCTCCCCCCCCCCCCCCGCAGATTCTTCCACAGCCAGCCTGCCCACCTGGGCCGGGGCCCACCTCTGGTGAGTGTCCCAGGCCCTGCTGAACCCTCCAGATCCATCTCTGGAGCACCCCTGCCCCTGCAATACTGCCCCCCCCACGCCGGGCCGGCCACTGGCACCTGCGTACCAGGCAACGTGCTCTGTGCTTACCTGTGTCTCGTCCAACGCTCACCTCAGTCCTAGCAGCCACCTGCTGGCAGCGCCCTGAGTTTGCGGAGGAGCCAAGCGAAGAGGCCGGGTGACCTCAGAGTGACCTCTGAGCCCCGAGGGTCTGTGGCAGCTGCGAAGCCTGCCCCTCCACACCAGCGTTAGGGCCAGAGTTCAGCTGCGGAGGTGGCTGCTGCCTCCCAGAGCCGCCCAGTGCGCCTCGAGCTGCCGGGCCCCCGCCAGGCCTGCTCCTCCCCGCACCTCGCTGCTCAGCGGGCCTCGACCCCTTCAGCCCGTGCACACCCGTGTGCGGTGTCCAGGTGCATCCCTGAGACGTCACCCCCACGGGGCGGAGCCGCTCTCCTCTCCTGACGTTCCGAGGTTCATTTGGTGTTTTTCCACACAATGACTCTAATTTTAGTTGTCTTTAACTTCATTCAAAACAGTTTCGAATTCTGGCTGGTGTGGCTCTGTAGACCAGAGTGTCACCGGTTCGATTCCCAGTCAGGGCACAGGCCTGGGTTGTGGCCAGGTCCCAAGTGGGGGGGGTGTGAGAGGCAACCACATGTGGATGTTTCTCTCCCTTTCTCCCTCCCATCCCCTCTCTCTAAAGATAAATAAATGTTTTAAAAAAGGAAACAATTTTGTTAGATTGTACTGTGGCAGCTATCCTATCAGTCTGCATGCATTAATAAAAAACAACTTATCGCCCCGGCTGGTGTGGCTCAGTGGATTGAGTGCCACCCTGTGAACCAAAAGGTTGCTGGTTCAACTCCCAGTCGGGGCACATGCCTGGATTGCAGTCCAGGTCCCCCATCTGGGGGCGTGTGAGAAGCAACCACACGTTGATAATGTTCCTCTCCATCTCTTTCACCCTCCCTTCCATTCTCTAAAAATAAATAAATAAAATCTTTAAAAAAACCCAACTTCTCAAAATCGGTGAATTTTTGTGTAGCCATTTTCGTATTAAAGATGGAAGAAAAGATGCAACATTTTCATCTTTATTATTTCTAGAAAGGTAAAAATGCAACTGAAACACAAAAAAAGATTCGTGCTGTGTATGGAGAAGAGGCCATGACTGATGGTGTCAGAAGCGGTTTGCGAAGTTCGTGCACGAGATTTCTGCTGGGCGCTGCCCCACGGGCGGGTAGCCCAGCTGAAGTTGGTAGCGATGAAATTGAGACATTAGTTGAGAACAGTCAACGTTCTACCATGTGGGAGGTAGCTGATATACTCAAAATATTCAAATCAGTAAGTTACTGGTGAAAATGAAAAGTGCGTCTCTTACTTCATGGAAAAAACTAAGGGGACTTTTTGGCCGGCCAGCTAAGTTGTCGAGCAGTCTGACCCTCGGAACCTGAACATCATCTCGTCTCTCTATTTCAAGGACATTTGCATTTCCTGAGACTCATGTGGCCACTCTGGGAAGTGGACAATGGTCCCCCTTGGTTTCCCCTGGCAGGTAGGACTGGACGGTGTCGTCATCCCCTTGGGCTCTCCCTGGAGCCTAAGAACCAGGCTCCCCAGGCCATGGCTTCCAGCGGGTCCCTCTGCCTGGGACCCTGACGCAGCTTGCTCCTGGCCGCCCTGTGCACAAGGTAGCTCTGGCCCTTTGCCACTATGTGTCCCCTGCCCCACGTCAGCCCAGCTCCCTGGGATCTGTGCTCACCAGACTTTGCTACAATGCAGACTGTCCTCTCGGGGGTCCCTGTTGTCCTTCCTCAAACCTTCAGCCTGGGGACCCCTGCCCTTTGGCCACACATACATGTTCTTATTTCTGATCATCGGCGGACGACCCAAGTCTCGTCATCTCCCCAGAAGTTTCTCAGCTGCCATCTGAGTCCGGGGGCACTTGGGGTAGGGGCTGCACTTTGGAGGTCCGGGCCCACCCATCGATGCATCCTCTGTGCGCCAAGACCCCTCAGGGGGTCGAGGACTTCAGAGGCCCCGCTTTTGCAAGGGGCAGAGGGGACAGGGCAGAGAAGGGTGTCAAGGGCATGAAAAGCCACAACCAAGCCCTTGGGAGCTTCTCTCCTTCCCTCCTTTCCTTCCCTCTACGTTTCCCCTGCTGCCCCTGAACCAGGCCCCCCACTGGCGGTCCGCAGGGCGGGGTCTCAGGCCAGCTCCAGGATGCTGGGCCAGTGAAGACCAGTGGGGGGTGGGGATGAGGGTGAGTTTAGTTTGCAGGCTTGTGTGACTGAGAGACATTGCCAAGGAAGGCGTCTGTCCCTGTTTGATTCCTGTGCCTCTCAGTTCAGGCCATGGTGGGGGCCATCTGCTAAAGTGGGCACAGAGAAAGCATTTTCGCTGTGCAGAGAACTGGCTTCCAAGGCCGTGTGCTCAAGGCAGAGCGAGCCCGCGGAGGAGCCGCATGGGCGGCAGACGCCCCAGCCTCGCCGGGTCTCGAGTAGAACATCAAGCCCCTTCCTAAAATGTAGGTGCCTTTGCAGGGTGGTCGCATTGCCCCCTTTTTAACAGATTTATTGAGATAGAATTAATGGATCATACC